TTCGAAACGTTCTTAGGGTACATCAATCAAAAATACTGTAGTTGTCCACTGGAAGATATTTTGGTCCCCTAAGATCTGATGTACCCTCTGATCCAATGTACCCCGATGTACCCTCGATGTACCCTTTTCTGATGTACCCTTGGATACTGGGCCATTTTCAACTGATAGGTTATATATCATAATATCACTAGTATTTTATCAATAGACATTTTTTTGGCATTTTCCACAGGAATTGAGTTAATTGAGCTCAGAGACAAGACACACCTGTCGGAAATAGAATCAAGGTGACCAGAGCCAAAAACTCCATGAAATCCACATGGTCCGTGATCATCGGAATTGACACATTTCTATGATAACTCTCAAATGAAGGACTGAACAATCTGAAATTAAAAAATAATTTTAGAATCCACAGTAATCCCTTTGCTCACCAACCTCACCGCTTCCTCAGAACTTATCGGTTGAATTTCGTCGGGATCATGAAAGAATGATTCCAAATTTACACAATCTATAAAATCTCCGGAAGGTAGAAACCAAACATCATTCCTTCGTCGTTGACTCGAACGAAATCCAGATTCCAAATTGAGAAATTGAAAATAGAAATGACGAATTAGAACGTCTTTTTGATCAGTGGGAAGGGCTGCATAACCATTAAAGGAGTTGTAAATCCAATCGGAAATCAGATAAAACTCTCTGAGCAAGATTTCAATATTCTGTTTGTAATTAACATATCGTGGAGGTTCATAGAATTGGTAAACTTCTATTCTGTCGAGTTCCAGCTTTTTGTACATTCCGCCAATTTGGTTTAAGAATGGAGTTGGTAGGAATATGGGTTGAAAAATTGGCAATCGTTTTCCGTAGATGTCTCGGTGTTTTTGAACAGCTGAAATGTAAAAAAAGCTTTTCTCGGAGGGCCCTTCTAATAGAGAGGCCCTTCTATTAAAGGGAGACCTTCTAATAGAGGTTTTATGGTATCAAAAAATCTATAGGAAAGGTTTCTTGTTGAAAAACTCACAATCCTTTTTCATCCCAATTGTTTCGCACTTCACGAACCGACATTTTTTGCACATTACCCCTTGCTCTAAAACTAACTAAAGCTTGATTTCTTTTAATGCAATTACAGTACAGGGCAAAATGATATGAACTTTTAGTTTTTCGACTAAAACTTTTTAAAAAATAGAGCTAAAACGTCAATCTTCTCTGTAAAATGTAGCTAATCGTCCGAGAAAAATGATGTGAAAATGGTTTCATCTTGAAAAAAATAAGAAAAAATTATAGCAAAAAAAATTTTTTTTAATTTTGGATTGGATCATTTTTTCAAAAATCTGGAAAAAAATAGAAAACGATTATGAAAGGGAAATATAATATTGGGAACATGAAAAATAGTGTTTGACCAACTTTTAAACAAGTAATACCTCATTAAAGTACAATTCTGCGTATGGTATGAATGTTCAAAGTGTCAACTGAACATTTTCAGCTTCTGGGCTTTTCCTACTACCGTTTCACAATTTCTAATTGTCAACGCTTGGTTATTTTTATGTTTTTATCATTTTTCAAGTGTCATTCCGCAATATCTGATTATTTTTCACGCGGAAAGATGTTTATTTAAGCTCCAAACACCGATTTTATGAATCGTGAGACAAGCTAAAACCAGCATGAAATGTACTTTTAGTCATTCTGGCAGAGTCGGTTGAACGATATCGGAATTTTTTCTTTTAGGTATCAATACTACAGTTCAGTTGAAACCTGAAACACATTATTTCCTGTTGGGGAACGCCCCTGGAAACGCTAAAAACATGTTAAAGTAGATTTTTGGAAGAAAATAATGACATTACAGATTCTGTATCTGTTCCCGAGTGCTCCATATATCAGTTTTTTTGTAAGAACGAGTTGTTGTGATTGTTCAAAGACAATCAAAATAAGATTCCACCACTTTTGAAAACAAATTATCAATCTGACCCAAAACATGAATTTTATAACTTGGACTCTAAAAGAAAACGAATTACTAGAGCCAGGAAGGATCATTCCACAACAGGAAATAATGTTTTTTAGTTTTCAAGTGAACTGTAGTATTGATATCTAGAAGAAAAAATACCGATATCGCTTAACCGACTCTGCTAGAATGACTAAAAGTACACCTCATGCTGGTTTTAGCTTGTCTCACGATTCATAAAATCGGTGTTTGGAGCTTAAATAAATAATTTCATCTTTCCGGGTGAAAAATAATCAGATATTGTGGATTGACACTTGAAAAATGATTAAAACATTAAAATAACCAAGCGTTGACAATTTGAAATTGTGGAACGGTAGTAGAAAAAGCCCAGAAGCCGAAAATGTCTAGTTGACACTTTGAACATTCATACCATACGCAGAATTGTATTTTAATGAGGTATCACTTGTTTAAAAATTGGTAAAAGACTATTTTGTCATGTCCCCAATATTATATTTCATATTAATGATCGTTTCCTATTTTTTCCAAATTTTTGAAAAAATGATCCAAAAATCCGACATTTTCTAAAAAATGAATTTTTTCGCTAAAATGTTGTCTTATTTTTTTCAAGATGAAAACAATTTTGCATCATTTTTCTCGGACGATTAGCTAAATTTTACAGAAAAAATTGACGTTTTAGCCATATTTTGAAGAAAGTTATAGTTGAAAAAACAAAAGTTCATATCCTTTTGTCCGGTACTGTACCTGTTCCCATTTTACAGTCCCCATTTCTTCTGCAGCTGTATTCCTGGTTTCTAGACACTGACCGACGAAAAAATGCGGAACATGCTCTGAAAATTTACAAATTAAAAAGCGTTTGATAAAGTCCCAACATCAACAATTTTTTTTCTATTTTTATTAACAAATGTTGAAACAGCAAATTAATTCATTAACCAACCTACACACACTGGCTCCAAAATGAATACCACTAGAATTGGAATTGCAGACTTCACAGTTGAAACTCATTGTTCTGAGACAGTCGAACAGACAAGAAATGTCACCATTCCTTCTCTTGTATTTGCCGTTTCCTTGAGTACAAATAGACTAAAAGACCAGACTACAGGATACAAATTTGGAGAGTTTGGGTAAAAATAGTAGACGCAGAGAAATTTGAAAGAATGGGTGGTCAACTGGAAGAGACTACATTTGTAAAAGGATTAGGATTAAGGTACCGTAAAACGTATAGTATAGGGTCCGATCTTTTTATTGTTCCAAGGTACCTCGAAGGGCCTTTCTATTACAAGGGTTTTTCAAGTAGGGGGGAGGAAGGGCTTCTATTTTTCCGAGCCCTTCTTTTTTTAGATTTAGGTTTCTTCTTCCTTCTTAAAAAGCATATCTATTAAATGGTCCCTTCTATAACAGGTTTTACGATAATCCTTGGATAAGTAGTTCAAATTCTGAAGACGTTGACTAGCAAAAAAAAATTAAACTTTGGACCTAGCTTGCCGGAATACTGTAGATACATAGTTTTTGCAAACTTTACAAAGTCACGCCGCCCACAATACATATAACTTTATTTCAAAAGTTCAACTCCATGAGCCATCTAGATTTAAATCGGAATTTGCAAAAATGTTGTTTGATGAAATATCGTGTTCTGTGCACACTTTTTTCATAAATTCAGTCTGTGTGTATCTGTGAGAAGGTGGGAATGCCTTGTTTGGATAGTGAAGAGCTCAATAGTTCACTTCAAAATTGATGAGAAAAAATTAGTTTGGAAGGATTTCCAGTTTGGAGAAAATCCTGAAATTTTCGATTCGGAAAAATAAAATAATTTCAGTTTCAAAGAAAATTTAAAAGATTTTAAAATGAAATATTGGGGATTTTCCAGATCAAGAATTTTCAAAAATATTCTGGTTGAGAAAAATCGGAGCTCCGGTGACCGTGGCTGAAGGTCCCACAGCGTTATTTTGAAATTTTGAAATTCTGAAATTCTGGAATTCTGTTATTCTGAAATGCTGAAACCTTGAATTTCGAAAATCGGGAATACTGAAACTTTGATGTTCTGAAGTATTGAAATTTCATAGGTCTAAAATTCTGGAATTCATAATTTTAGAAATTCAGAAGTTCAGAAGTTTTGAATTTCTTTTTTTTTATTCTGAAATCACAAAATTCTGAAGTCATGAGATTTGAAAAATCTAAAAATCGCGATATTCTGAAATTCTGAAATACTGAAATTTCAAAAATCTGAAAATCCGATATTCTGAAATTCAGAGATTCAGTAATTCAGAATTTCTGGTTTTCTGAAGTTCTGAAGATATGAAATCCTGAAGATCGGCGATTTTTAAATCTGAAATTCTGAAATTCTGAAACTTGCCGAAGTTCTGATATTATTAGTTTCTGAAATTCCGAAAAAGCTATGACAACACTCAGTGTCATTAGAAAATTCAAATAAAAAAAAGCATTATGCAGTTTTCCGAGGAATCCCCTTTTTTCTTTTTACAGTAACTACAATCCCCCGCCTCAACAATATTTGTATAGCTGGATATTTACAAACCTCAGGGTTTCATTGTGTGACAAGAATCATCTCACTGCACTTTTCTATCAAACTCCGCGCATCTACAGTAACCAATATCTGAAAATTAGTTTCAGAGAGGCTGAAATTTCAGAAAAATTCAAATTCCAGGTAAATGGATCTTTCAAATCCTCCCAAACCTTCGAAACGACTGGACCTCCAAGGCATCCGTGCCTTGGCCATTATAGTGGTCCTTGGATTTCATTTTTATCCAGAATACTGTCCCAATGGATATCTTGGAGTTGATCAGTAAGTCTATCCCAATTTCAAGGGATCATGATGTCCATAATGTTTTCAGATTCTTCGTGTTATCCGGATTTCTAATGTGTATGTTGTTAAAACGTGCTGAGAATCAATCCCTGTGCCAATTAGTCAGTCTATTTTACTCCAAGCGATTCAAACGAATCCTCCCATTATACCTACTTGTTATCCTTGTTTCTATGATTTGTCTCTACCAATATTTTCCAAATACTGCAATCGAAACAAATCAAGAGTCTGCTATCCATGCTCTTCTTTTTGTATCAAATCGTCCGAAGACAGATCAGGAAGACTATTTTCAGCAGGTAAGATTTTCAATTGTAACATTCTACCGTAAGACCTGTAATACAAGGGTCCTCTAACTTTTAAATTTGAGCCAATTTTTCTTGGCTCCTATGGAAAGTATTAGAAATGTATCAAGTGGACAGCTTTTTTATATCTTTAACAGGAACCGAGATTAATTGGCTCAAAGATAAAAATTAAGGAGCCCTTCTAATACAGGTTTTTACTGTATTCTATTTTCTATGTTTCCAGCTCTCACTCGCTGTGGATATCTTCACACATACCTGGTCATTATCCGTAGAAATCCAGTTCTATTTCTTGATTCCTTTCATCTTTATGGTCTCCACCGCTCTCCCTAGCAAGTTTCAATATTTTTACTATCTGGTTATAGGTAACTTTTTCCTGCAAGCTCGCTCCACCGCACTCATTTTTAGGTCTCTTATCTTCAACCCTATTCTACACTCTTCCTTCCACTGAAGCCTTCAACAGTGTTCTAGCGAGAATTTGGCAGTTTTTGATTGGTAATCTTTGAGCTTAATTATCTCGGTTCACATGAGAGATATTAAAAATCTGGCAACTGATAAAATATAGGTGATATTATGATGAAGAATTTATCAATGGAAAATTTGTTGATAACTTCTCAAGGGACCGAGATAATTGAGCTCTAACTTGGCAAAATGTTTCAGGCATGGTGGTTTATCTACTATCAAATCAAAAAACTGAAATCAAATACCAAGCACTGAATAACGAAGAAGAGGGAGAATGTAAAAAGTTGCTTGAAGATGAGGAGAGCCAAGAAGTTGATTGCTGTCCCAATGAAAAATTCTCAAAGTTTCTGAAACTGTCCCAAAGATTCTCATATATGATTCTGCTGGTTGTGACAATGGTAAACACATTTCCATTAACACTGCCGCCAGCACTAGTGAGGTACCAAACCTAAACGCGCACTTTGAGCTCAATTATGTCGGCTCCAATGGAAGATATAAAAAATCTGTCGACTGATAAAATATTGGTGAGATCATGATAAATAAGTTTTCAATTAAAAGTTTTTTGATATCTTCAAGAAGAACCAAGTTAAATGAGCTCAAAGTGCGCGTATACTCTGGGCTTCTAGAGCAAAGAAATATTTTTCAGGCCCTTCATCACTATTTCTACTGGTCTCCTGATGCTCATTTCCGAAGATAGCCTTATCCTATCCAATCGCTTTCTTACTTATATTGGAGATATTTCTTACTCCCTCTACCTCATCCATTGGCCAATTTACGCCTACTGGAAGCTCACATACGACGGAGACAAATACCGTAATCCTAGTTTTTTTTTATTCTTTTGATTTTTTTTCATTATTTGTTCAGTGCTGCTGTGTGCATTGGTCTCATCTGTTGTCCTCGCTGTTGTCACATTTGAGTTTTTTGAAAAATGGTATCTCAAACTGTCATCTACAAGTATTGGTATCCTTGTTGTGGTGATGTTTTTCTTGAATGCAGTGATAATCAATAAGGATGAAATTTCGGATAATTTGGAAACGATTCGAAGTAATGGATCTAATTTGGATAATGTGACAGACGACATGACGTTAGGTAAGCATTTCAGATACTACTGTAGCTGAAAATATTCATATTGAAAAAGGAAAATTTTCCAGACGATGCCGCCCGCCTAAACCATCGATGGAGCATTTATGACCGTAAATTTTTACGAGTTCCCAGTTGTGTTTATGAGACGAAATCGCATTTAGGATGGTGCAGGCATGCGGTAGGTTCTGGGGAAACTGGCAGATGACGGGCGGGTGTTCATTTCTAGGGCAGAACGTTTTCAGAATCTAAGAATTTCCGGTTTTTCTAAATTTTCTGGAATACTGAAATTCGAGAAATCAGAATTACAGAGTTGAATCGAATTTTTCAATTCTGAATTTTCTAAAAAAAATCTGGAAATCAGAAACTTCTGAGAGTTACGAAATTTTTAAAGGGGGACTCCGACCAAAAATTTTTATTGCATTAAAATGTGTTAAAAGTTATCTATTTTCCGAATATTATTGCGAAAAAATTCAAAAAAATCCGAAATTCCCAAAAAACGCCGTTGAAAAGGAAGAAAATTCAAAAAAAGGTGCCGCCGGGGGACGAGGATTTTCAGTGAGAAACCTAGGCCACGGCAGCGGGCGCCTTTCCTACGTGGCAAATTTTCCGGATTTTTTTCAATTTCATGTCCGGCAGGTAAAAAACGTAAAAAACCAATGTCGGCGACTTGAAAAAAAGGCTGTCATTTGCCGTGGCCTAGGTTTCTCACTGAAAATCCTCGCCGGCGGCACCTTTTTTTGAATTTTCTTCCTTTTCAACGCCGTTTTTCGGGGATTTCGGATTTTCTTTGAATTTTTTCGCAATAATATTTGAAAAATAGATAAATTTTAACACATTTTAATGCAATAAAAATTTCTGGTCGGAGTCCCCCTTTAAATTGCGAGATGATCCAGTTTTTAAATTTTG